TGAGGGTCTGATCGGCCGTCGTAGGACTTGATGGCGTTTCCCCTGTACTTCTCCGGGATGGGGGCCGAGAGCACCCTGTTAGTGAAAGGGGTCCTGGTCCTGACCTGGATGACGGGGTCACCTCGCCCTTCGGCAAACTCCCTCTCAAGGGCGCTGACCTTGTTCATGAGAGCGTTGAGGCCAGGATCGTTGGAGGCGCCGGCCGTGGGGATGTTTGCCGATTGCCTGGCCTCCATCTGGGCTAGCCTCCTTTCCAGCTGGGCGATGACCTCGTCCCGGGGATCCCTGGCGGCTGCAACGGCGCCCTGCTGGTTCTTCATGCGCTCGTCGTGCTCATGCAACTTTCCCTTGCCCTTGTCCAGGCGGGGCTGGTCCGCTTTCCGGGACACAGACCCCAAGCTTTCTCTGGGCGAGCCAGGCCGACGCTCACCAATCCGCCCTGCCATCCTCTGTGAAACCGGACGACGGCGCGTGTCACCTAGCCTATTGAAGGCGGAGGCTTTTCCATGCGCTAGGGTCTGCCCAAGCCGAAGAGGGGAAGCAGGGTGGGAGTGGGACGACGCCGTGTCCTGGGCTATCACACCCTCATCGTTGCCTAACCTGACGGCCAACGGTTGGGGCTGAGGAGGTGGAGTGACGTTCCCCCCAGTCCTTGGCAAGAGTGCGCTGAGGACGGTGGGGTTCTGAGCCAAGCTGGCGATGATGACCGACAACACGGCCTGCACCTGTGGATCCACACACGGAGAAGCCGCGGCCATAGGCTGGGCCGGGGCGTGGTCTGTCTTCTCCGCGCGCTTCTTGTCCAGGCCGATGCGGGCATCAGGGGCGTCGCCGTTGAGCTGGTTGCGTAGGTCCGTCGTGAGGTTGATGGCCTCCTGGAAGACGTCCCCTCCGCCGACCTGGTCGGCCGTGGCGTCCTCCTCATGCTCCCTGGTCTCCTGATCCTCAGGGATGGCCTTGCTGACGAGGTTGCGGTTTGACTTGGTTCTTCCCATGATCAGTGGTTAGCTGTGCTTGGTAGCGACGAAGGGTGCTAACTTGATTGTTCTAGCTCTCAACGAGAGCACCAAATGATAGAGTATATATCTAGAGAGAAGTGAGAGCTAGAGAGAGAAGTGCAAATAAATGCTTCAATAGAATGATTTTGTAACCCCTACAACTACCTCCAGAGGAAGTATTTATAGGAAAAATACGGGCTGGGCTCCCAAGCCTTGGGCTTGGGAGGCCCATTTACAACTGGACCGCTATTGGACCGAATACAAAGTAAATGATGGGATATATAAATGAATAAGTGTAAAATCTAGTTCTGCGAGACCTCTGTGGCCGACGAGGGCACGGCCGATGAGGGCACGGCCGATGAGGGCACGGCCGATGAGGACACCCTGGTTCCCTGGCTTCAGGATCATATTCTGAGTCGGTCCCTCTTCGGCCGACGAGGGTCCTTTGGCCGACGAGGGCATTGCATAGTGGGTTGTGCTTTCTGTTCTTCTGAGTATGTGGGTCCTGGGGCCTAGACCCATATACTCCATTAGTAGACGAGTGCTATCTCGGGTTGTGTTACGATGGTGCCTTCTTCAAAACTTTCGATCCATTTAGCTCTATTCCTTGGAGCAAACAAATTCACTTTTGAAAGATTGTTTTCAATGGCCATTTGCATATCAAAGAGAGAATAGTATTTCACTTGTCTCATCATGAATCTCTTGAGTGCGTTAAGGCCTAGTTGTCTGTTTTCTGGAGGAAAATCTCTTAGTCTCACGTTCCTGTATTCGTAGTATAGCTGAATGAGATCTTCAGGAACAACATGATATAGATCAGCTTCAGAGACTCTTTGTACTATTCCATTTTGTCGTTCGAACTCAATCACAGGATATTTCACTAGTCCGCAACTATGAACTTCAATTGATTTGATCCCAATGATTAGAGAATCAGAATGTTTCTTAAGTCGTTCACGATGTCCATAAGGATCATTCTGATCTGCAGTCATATTCCTCAACATCTATATGTGATCGGAAGCATCGGTTCCTTTCAAATGTTCAAGTCCTCTTAGCTCAAGTTCGTCAATCTTCTTGATTCCTTTCTCACTTCTCCAAATTCTTGGTCTCAGATCTTCTTGTTATGGCACGATTATCTTGACATTCTCCCAAGGTGTCTCAATTTTGTCTTCTATCTTGGAATCACCTGGGCGCGTCTTGATCAGATCTTTGACGATGTGAAAATCAGGAAGTGGATCATCGTAGAATTCTCCTTGAGCATACTCTTCAGGTTCAAGTCCCATTAGCTTTTCAGCAGCCGTCTTCTTGACTTCTCAAATGAAATTCAGCTTTTTTAGAGCATCTGCGTTGTTCAGCTTATGACGTTTATCTTTCTCATTGTCTTCTACCCATTCAAGCAATATCAGATCAGCAGCTTTCTCTTTGAGCTCTTTTTCCTTTTGCTTTGAAGCTTTCTTTCTTGATGGTGAGGATGGTTGATCAGGGATTGCTGAAGTGGGAGTAGATCTAGGCTTTGCAACCTGTGGGACCTGTGAAGTGCAAATCGGAGGGACAAATGTGGGTAATGTAACACCGGAGTCACAGAGACTTACTGTTTTCATCATACTAGAGGTGAACTCGTTCTGATGGCCTTAAAACAATGGTGATAGCGATGTTGCATTGTCAGGACTTCCTTCCAATCCTTGGTCAACATCCATGAAGGATGAGCCTATAGAAGTTCTCGATAGGACACAAAGTCCTGGCTCAGTGTTAAGAGGCACAGAAGGGTGAAAAACGGTTAAGGCTAGTGAGTCGTTGGGTGCGGTGGAGGATGACGGTTCAGGCTGAGAAGATGTGGATGGTTCAGAGCTAATGGAGGATGGGATGATCGATTTTGATGTTGTTTGCTCACAAGTACGTTGCTTTTTCTCCCCCTCATGATGATCCGATTCATCGGCGTCATCATGCTTACGCTTAGGCAAGCGTTCTTGATCATGGCAAGTGGTGGTGGGGATGAATGGTGGGGTAAGGGCTAGGATGTTACGTACTTGAATGAGGTGAGGTGGAAGGATGGGTTCAGATAGGAGTCTATCAAGAAAATACTCAAATAAATCAAGAATGTTCATTTGGGTAGGGTCAGGGTGAGAGGTAGATGGAGTGGATGTGGGTATGATGGTAGTGGGTGTAATGGTTAATGGAAGAGTTCCTATGCAGGGAGTTGGGTGTGATCTTTGGTCTGCTACGCCTATTTGGACTACAGGATGTAGGTCTTGTAAAAGTGAAAGCTTGAAGGCTAGAAGTTCAGACCTCAGATCCTCCCTAGTTAAACTAGCGAATGAAGAAAAACTTGACCTAAACGACGTATCAGTTCTCACAGCATCACTAAGAATAGCGGTGCCATGGCCTGCTGGGGAGATCATTGTGGCAGGACTTCCAACCGTCATTGACGTATCCCTGGTTGTTATGACATGTGGTAATGAGCATGTATTAGTGTGTGCAGTAATAGAAGGTTGTGCCCTAGAAAATGATAAAAAATCTGGGATTGTGGACACAAGACCTAACGTGCACTGGCTTGCAGCTGATGGGTTCCCCTTGTTATGTTGAAACAACCATCTGTTGAGAGACGGTTGAGTGGTCTAAGTTTGGCTCTTTTTGCGCCATTGAACTCGATGTAGCGACTTCTACTTGGGAACTGACAACGTCAAAACCTATACCTATGGGCTGAGTTCGGTGTATTTGGGTGACTGGGGATGATGAAACAATTATAGCATTAGAGGAGGAGACATTAGCTCTCTTGGACTGAGTCTCACTTGCCCTCTTTTTGGTCTTTGACACTCTCAGACCCTTACTTCCACTCTGCTTAGAAGTCCTTTGGGTAGACACAATGGGGTTTGACTGTGTCGTAGGGATAGAAGAGATATTAACCTTGTATTCAGCGATGTGCGGATCATTTGGAGCAGCAAGGTTGAGTAGAGCATAAAGGATAGGCATGGGATGCATCTCAGGAGTGTTCTCAGAGTTCTTGAAGTGGATTAGCTGAGGGATTGCTTGCAACTCTGTTGTTGGCCTTTGTGGAGTGCTGACATCTTCCTTCATGAAATGGTCGATGAGAATGGAGAACCAACGTACATATGGGATATACTTGGTCTTTTTGTTTGATGCCCTTGTGCTCAGTTGCTCTAAGATTTCGAGCCTAATAAGCTGCGCCCAGTCATAGTTCTTGGAAAACATAACACCGTGGATCAGCTTCAGAATGTTAATGTTGCATTGATCATGGCCAGTTTGCTTGGATGACAGGCATTTGTTTAGAATGGAAAAAAGAGTTTTCCACGGTCTGGGCAGCTTGTTGCTTATGAATTGAGAAGATGATGTGAGAGGAGGTAGATGGCCTATTTTGATCATATCTGAGAAGATGGTTGAGTTTTCTGGGAATGGGTCGTATTCAACTGATATGGGTAGGTGGAGGAGGGTACAGAAGGTTTCTTGGTGATGGTGATGGTGGTGTTGGCTAGTGTGGCTTTAAGGGTGAGGATTGGGTCGGTAGTGGTGTTCATGGTTCTCCAGAGCTGTCAGAGATAGATTTTTGGGGCTTTGACAGAAAGTGTGAGTGCTGGCCACAATGGATGCCCTTTAAGTATTGAGATCACCACTTTGTCTTGACATTTGAGTACAGTTGGATCCAGTAAATCATTGTTGTCTTTGATATCGATCTAACTTTCCATAGGGTACACTTCCTCCTCAGATTGGAAAGCCATTATGCCTGAATTGCACATAACACTACTAGAAAACTGGTCTATAGTGACACTAAATAAGTGTCACAGAAAGTTTTACTGACACTAGAAAAGTGTCATAGAAGGTCGGGAATTTTGACACTAAATTTAGTGTCACCGGTAAAGTGTCACTAATTTATGACACTAATGTATCATAAAAATTTGTGATAAAATAATATCACTTTACATTTTGACACATTAGTATCAATTAAACTTATGATACATTGGTATCACATAATGTTGATTATATATAAATGTTTTATATATATAATTATATATACACATGAAATATAAATTATGTATCTTGAAAGTAATAAGGATATTGAAATACAAAAGACGCTTCTTTATTGAAAAAAACAATTATCATTTACAATTCAAGTGTCATACACATTCCAACACAAACTCAACTAAATCTATAATTAACTAATTTGAGATCCTCCCATTGCTTTAAGCTCCACCTATGACCAAATCAGTTGATCTTCAACATGACTATAGTGCTTCTTACTTGTTGGTGGCTTTTCAATATCTAAAAGAAATAAAATCAAGATACATTAGATAGCTACAATGATGAATGTTTATGTGAGAATGCCAAAATATTGTTGCTAAAAAATAACCTCTAATGGTATAGATGAACTTCAAATAACATTGATATAGATTTGTGTTAATGCTAGTACTAAGTACATATAGAATATAGATGTCTATTTCTCATTTGCTTGCGAGATGAAATGTTTAACTTGTTCACATGTACATGGAGAACATATCTTTGAAATGGAATCATACAAATCATAGCATTCATTAAATACAACTTTACTTGTTCAATACTCTGTACTTTATTGATAGCAATAATGTCTACATATATTCATACTCACGAGAATTGTAATTTAGTAGTAAATGTAACTTACTTTCAACCGAGCATTATCAGATGTACAAAAAACAACCTCACGGATTTTAAAGGCAAACAGAACTCATACTTAGGAAAAGGATATCATTAGAAATATGCTCTTAACCCAGGCATATCAACATAAATAATATAGTGCTAATTAAACTGAAAATGATACGAGCTAAGGGGTAATGAGTGGTGTTCTGTCATGATAACCATTTTGTTAATACCAGAAAATCATTGTCATGCCCCTGCTTGTGCAACCCTTATTCAGCTTTAAGGACTCATTCATCAATAAACCAAAACGGTGAGTTTGAGTGGAGGCAATCAATGGCCAGTATACAATACTTTAATCTATTTTTCACAGACCACTATTAGCATGCATCCTTGAGGTGCACCCTGGTGAATATGAAGTATAATTTACCAAGGGTATAGTTGCTGATACCCTTGCAAACATGTACTTCAGTCCTAACCCAGGCTAGACGCAAGATACTTGACACCTATTATGATGCTTCCATAGCATTGAAAATCAAATAGAAACGGTAAGACAAGTCAACAACAACAGAAATTATAGAATGCATAAGAGAAAGGTAAATATCGATAAAAGTAAAGAGATATGAAACCTGGTGATTAGCTGGTCAGGCCCATGATGAATCTGAGACCCATTGAATTAGAGACAAATTAGAACCCGCCAATCCAAGAAGAATAGAAGAATCAGCGAATCCAATACGAGTTTGATAAACCTGTGATGCACAAGCTAACTGAATCCAGATTCTACTGCAGAGAGAAAACAAGTGTAAAACTGTAAATATTTATATATTGTTAGTTCTACAACAGACTTTCTACCCACTACAACAAAAAATATGATACCATCATACCATTATACAATATATAACTCCCTGCCTCTCCGCTTTTGCTTTAGATTTTAGTATTATAGCTAAAAAACTCTTCACAGTCATGAAATATGCTGAATTAATGTCATGAAATATGCTGAATTCATATGTCAGTGAGTCGGTCCTTATTTTCAATGGTGTGATATTGGTCCCTAGTCAAATTAAGGGATCATCCAACTTGGAAATGATATTATACTTCTAACAAGGAAAACTAAGTTATATAGAGTAAATGTATATAGTAATCATAAAATAGAAAAGGAAATAAAGTAGAAGAGATCCCACTCACCTGTGTAAAGCCTTCGATGTCTTCCTCGTCAACAAGATGATTTTTTGTGAGACCTGAAACAGAAGAAATTAAAAGTTGATTGTCCTCAGAAATATTTTCCTCACTGGACGGAGTCATGTCAAGCATAGTAACTGCATTTTCATGTGTGGGATCAGTGTTGTTCTCATCATTTCCAGATCGGGTGTATTCTCCGACATCATTACCAATTCCCCCGGTTACCGCCTCGAAATGGGTAGCCACCGGAGGTTTAGTAAAAACAGGATCTTTAGGGGCCACACTTTGGTCTGAGAACGCCGAGTCAAAATGAGGGTCAATTTGTTGAGCAACTTTAACGGGGGCTTCAGGGGCATCTAGAACAGAGGTAATCAGGCCTGTGAGGGAACCAACAGAGGCACCTGATTCAATAAAAGGGACTGGAGCATCACCAACAATACCAGCCTCAATTACAGGGGCACAAGAAGCACCAACAACTGTAATAGAGGCTTCCTGGGCATCATTAGCAGTTAAAAGAGTGTCATAGCCTGCCTGAGCATCAAAAGCAGGGCAAAAAAGGGCACTGAGGGTACCAAGAGAGGCACCAGCATCTGGAATATCAAAATCACTCATAGCATAATCAATAACATTGCACTGTAATAATTTTGAGGGCAAAAAATCTTGACAGGCTTCAAATGCAATATCATCAGTAATAGGGGGACAAGCTGCTGCCTGGGCACCAACAGAGGCATCATTTGTAACTTCGGAGTTGGCCTCACACATCACTGATGCCACATTTAAAGGAGTAGCAGAGTTCGTAACTGTGGGGCAAAAATCTGGTACTGCCAGACAGGTCATGAAAGCATCAGAATGGGAATCACATAATGTTGTGACACCATTAAAATTAGCTTTGTCAAGCACAAGGATGGGCTGCAGCAGTAAATTTTTCAATCACAGGGACAGAAGTATTATCACAGATAGTAGGGGCAACATGATTAACATAATCCGTAACTGTGGGGCAAAAATCTGGTACTACCAGACAGGTCTTAGAGACATCAGAATGGGAATCACATAACGTTGTGACTCCGTTAACATTAACTTTGCCAAGCATAGGGGCTGCACCTTTAAATTGTTCTGATAGAACCAAACACCAGAACAGAGAAATTTACAGAAATTTATCAAGAAGCTTTATTGAATCAAGAACAGTAACAATGGCCGAAGCCCCCAAAGAGAGAGAGTATTAGTCTCTAACTTCCCAGTACAAGACAAAAGTCTAATTTCAGAACCTGAATCAAACTCAAAAATAAGAATTAGGCATAAGAGAAGTACATATGTCGATTAAAAAAAGATGTTAAACCTGGTGATTAACTGGTCGGGTCTTAGAAGAACCTGAGAACGGTAAAAATAGAGAAGAATTAGAGAAACGGTCCAAGAAGACTCCAAGAGTAACCTGTGAATCGAAAAACTAATTGAGAAGGCTGGTGGTTAGTGGCTATCGGTGATGGCACATAATGGAGAAGACGATGAAGGCCGGTGGTTAGAGGCTATCGTTGATGTCGCAGAATGGAGAAGACGATGAAGGCTGATGGTTAGGGCTGATGGAGAAGACGATGAAGGCTGATGGTTAGCGGTTGGGGTTGATGGTTAGCGGTTGGGGCTGATGGCGCATAATGGAGAAGACGATGAGTCGATGAAGGTTGGGGAAGATTTTACGAGATGGGAGGTCGCGAGAGGGGCCAAATTATTTTCGATGGATAGGGTTTTTACTTTTTAGCAAGGTGTTAAACCTGGTGAAAATAGTGGAGGGAACTTAAATTTGTTGTCAGTGACATTTATTTTAAAAAGTGTCACTATTAAAATTTGGCTTTGAGCTTTGTTGGGCTTTGGTTTGGGTTTTAGAATTTGGGTAAAGGGAAGTTGGTTGGGGACAGAATGGGCTTTATGATTTCGGGTTATGGACTTAAGGATTTCGGTAGCCCGTAATTTGAGATTTCAGTGGCACAATCTCGGATGCCCATTTGAGAGAGGATCTCGATGGGGGGATTTCGGTAGGTAGATTTCGAGTAGGGGATTTCGGGTAGGAGGGATTTCGGGTGCCCGTCTTTGAGGGTTTCAAATTATGATTTCGGGAGTGGGGATTTCGGACAGATGTTGGTGGCCAGGCTTTTGGAATTTTGGTGGCTATCTCAGAAAGATGAATTTTGCTGTGGTTCGATTTCTGAGATTGGAATTTCGGGAGCCCTGAACATGAATGATTTCGGCTGGAGAGTTTTTTGGTTATGGAGGTTCTTTGAGGAGGGGATTTGAGGAATGGTCGTTGATGAGTGAAGGTAGACGATGGAGACGCTGGGTTCCGGTGGTTGTTGCCGGTGGTCTGCCGTCGTTCTAAGATGGTACTTGCAAAAATAAACCCATTCACACACACATGCAAACATATGATAAAGAAAAGAGAATAAACCTTGAGAATTTGTGTGAGATGATGATCGAAGAAGATGATGAAAAATTTTAGAACTTGAGAGCTTTTGAGTAGTGAAGAGGAAGAGAATAAGAAAATTCCAATCGTTTCTTTCTTAAGTACCCGCGAAAAGAAAAAGGGGAAATCTTTTTGGCTTTTTCTCAAAATAGGAAACTGACTCAATTAGACTGACTAAAAATCCTAAACAGACTCAAATTAAAAGAGAAAAATATTTTTGTGATTTTCTGTTTTTAAAAAAAATTGCGGATACTAAATTAAAGTACCCCCCCTCAATTGTAGCAACTCAGACGAGACAAATTTTGCTCCCATCAATGTTTGCACACTTTAGGGAAACTGGCTGACAGACCAAGAAACTGACTCAATAAAATGACACGACAAAAAAAATAAAATTAAAACTCCCCCTATGCTTGTGCACGGTATTAAAATTCCAAATTCAGCATTCCCAGTTTAGAGACCAGGAACTGAAATCTTTTCTCGTCCAGAGCTTTTGTGAATAGTTCAGCCAGTTGAAGCTCAGTGCACACAAAGTATAGGTCCACATGACCTTTTTCGAAATGATCTTTAATGAAGTGGAATCTCACGTCAATGTGCTTAGTGCGAGAATGATGAACAGGGTTGCATGAGATAGCAATCGCATTTTTTGAGTCACTGTAAATCGGAATGTGGTCGAAATAGAATCCAAAGTCGCGTAGTTGAGTCCTCATCCATAATACTTGTGAACAACAGCTAGCAGCGGCAACATATTCAACCTCCGTTGTAGATGTAGACACACAATTTTGCTTCTTTGAGAACCAACAGACCAGCTTTTCTCCAAGAAATTGAGCACTACCAAAAGTACTCTTTCTATCCATTTTACATCCAGCGAAATCCGCGTCAGTGACACACAATCATATCAAATGCAGTCTCCTTAGGATACCAGAGTCCTAGGTTTGGAGTTCCTTTCAGATAACGAAGAATTCGTTTCACAGCCAGCAGATGGGATTCCTTTGGATTTGCTTGAAAGCGAACACAGAGACAGGTAGCAAACATAATATCAGGTCGGCTCGAGGTCAGATATAGCAACAAACCAATCATTCCCCTATAAGTTGCAACATTCACGGGCTTTCCCGATGGGTCAGAATCAAGCATACAAGCAGGAGTCATCGGGGTTTTCACAGGGGTGCTATTCTCTTGACCATATTTCTTCAGCAAATCATGAATGTACTTGGACTGATGAATGAAAATTCCGTCAGGCAATTGTTTAACCTGTAGTCCAAGAAAGAAATTCATTTCACCCATCATGCTCATTTCGAACTTAGATTGCATCAGACTTCCAAACGCAGTGCAGAGGGCTGGATCAGTGGAACCAAATATGATGTCGTCAACATAGATCTGAACCAAGATGATGTCAAACCCATGATGCTTAATGAAGAGAGTAGTGTCAATCGTTCCTTTAGAGAAGCCAGAATCAACCAGGAAATCAGATAATTCCTCATACCAAGCTCTCGGGGCTTGTTTGAGTCCATACAAAGCTTTATCCAAATGATAGACGTGATCTGGATATTTCTCACTGATGAAGCCTTTTGGTTGATCAACGTAAACTTCTTCTTTCAAGATCCCGTTCAAGAATGCTGTTTTGACGTCCATTTGATAGATGGTGAAGTTCTTGTGTGCAGCATAAGCCATGAACAGTCGAATGGCTTCAATGCGTGCAACTAGAGCGAACGTCTCATTGTAGTAGATGCCTTCTTGTTGATTGTAGCCTTTCGCAACTAATCTGGCCTTATTGTGAATCACAATCCCGTCTTCATCTTTCTTGTTCTTAAAGATCCACTTAGTGCCTATTATTGATTTTCTAGGGGGGCAAGGCACAAGTGACCAGACTTTCAGCCTCTCAAACCGATTGATTTCTTTTTGCATGGCGATTATCCAATCAGGATCAGCTAACGCTTCAGTGACATGTGTAGGCTTAGATTGACTTAGAAAACAAGAAAACAAACATTCATTCTCGGTAGCGGATCGTGTGCACACTCCACTTGAAGGATTTCCAAGTATGAGATCAGGTGGATGAGCACGTGTCCATTTTCTAACATGAGGGAGTGGTTGAGCATTGTTGTTTGGTTGTTGATCAACATAAGGAATATCAGCATGAGGAATAGATGAAGATGTAAGATCAGAGGACGGAGGTGTTGAAGTTTCAGTCTCAGCTATGGTTGCAGAAGATGATGGGGTTGATGCAGAAGTTGAAGTTGCAGTTGTAGACGCAGTAGAGGATGTAAGGGATGGATCGTGTGGTTGTGGATTCTCGTATATTTGGTCAAACATATGATCGAGATCCACAGTGTTGGAATTAGGTGAGGGAGATGAGGCGGGTAGTTGTGCTAGAACACCTGTGATATCGGGTTCTGAACTGGTGTGTCCAGAAGCATGTTCTTCCTTCTCGTCAAAGGTCACATTAATGCTTTCAATGACCTTCTTTCTGTCTCTGATGTATACTCGGTAAGCTTCAGACAAAGAGGAGTAGCCAATAAACACGCCTTCAAAAGTTTTCGGATCAAACTTGCTTCGATCTTCCCTGTCATTAGCCATGAAGCACTTGCATCCAAAAACTTTTAGAAAAGAAACACTGGGAATTCAGCGGTTGATCAGCTCATACGGTGTCTTTCCAAACCTTTTGTGAATTGAGGTCCTGTTCTGAGTGAAGCAAGCAGTGTTGATAGCTTCATCCCAGAGAGAATGTGGAAGTTTGGAGTGTATCAGCGTGGTTCTTGCAACTTCAACAAGAGTTCTATTCTTTCTTTCAACCACCCCGTTCTGCTGTGGGGTCTTTGCTGCAAAGAATTGCTGAATGATGTCTTGAGTCTCGTAGAATTCACTGAGTTTCTGGTTCTTGAACTCAGTGCCGTTGTTAATTCGTATGAAGAGAATTGTTGCCTGCAGTAGATTCTGAGTAGTACAGATGAAGGTGATGATGATGTCTGTTGTCTCGTCTTTGGAGCGAATGAACCGGATCCATGTATATCTTGAGTAGTCATCTACTATTACTATGACATATTTCTTCCCATTGATACTTTGTGTACGCATGGTCCCACAAAGATCCATGTGAAGCAATTCAAGAGGACGTGTAGTAGATGCAGTCATTTTCGCCTTGTGAGAAGCTCTTTTCATTTTTCCAAATGCGCAAGAATCACACCGATGATCACATTTACTTTGCAGTGCTGGCAGACCAGTAACAAGCTTCTTTGATGACAATGTATGCAGATAACGGTAGTTCAGATGAGACATCCTCTTATGCCACAGTTGATTCAGTTCAGAGGACGCTCTAGACAGCAGGCAGACATCTGAATTGGGAAACACAGTTTTCAGCACAGTGGTGTAGAGACTGGATTTGCGTCTACACCTCAGAATTGTGTTTCCTTGATCATCCTTCACACAACACTTGTTAGCTCGGAATATGACTTTCATGCCCTTGTATCCTGAATCTGCCCATGGGGTATGCATTTACCATCTTTAACAACCTCAAGACAAAGTTTAAAAGAAAAACAAAAAAATGAAAGACAATTATTTTGAAGCCGCACAAGCATACACGAGAGAGGAGTTTGATAGCCACATTGAGGAACTCAAGAAAATTGATGAGGACATAGTCCCATATTTGTACACAGTTGGCTATGAAAAATGGGCAAGAGTTTCTCAGGCTCCAAAAGGTACTCAACAATGACTTCTAACATTGCAGAATCAGTGAATGCAACAATAAAGAAGATAAAAAATCTGTCAATAAGAGCTTTGCTACAGTTCTTGCACGCATTGGTACAAATGTGGACTTTTGTGAACCGAAAAATTGCAAGAAATACTTTCACAGAACTTGCAAAATTTCCTCATGAAACGCTGCAGCAGAACTACATGAAATGCATGAAGCTAAAGGTACATAGCAGTTACACAATATGTAGATAAATACGTATAAAAATGGAATTATAATAATACCTTGTTCACAATCTTAATTGAAGGTGATTCCTTCTAATGAAGCGATATTTAGTGTTTATGAAATGAAAAAAAAAGCTTCATTGTTAACCTGGAGGAGAAGAAGTGCACTTGTAGGAAGTTTCAAATTAATGAGTTGTCATTTATTCATGCATTGACAGTACTAAAAAAAATGAACCAAGAACCGTACAGATTTTGTTCATCTTACTACTCAAAGGAGACAATGCTGCAAACATATAGAGAGACTGTGCATCCAATTCCAGATCAGAGCACATGGTAAATGCATAGTGGTGATACAGAAATGAAGATTTATCCACCACATGGAAGGAAAAA